GTTTGCCCTTGATCTAATGTCCACATATGAGGGAGAACATACGATTTTTGGTCTTTTGGGCCAGGCTAACCTCACTCAGAATGATGTTCTCCAATTCCATCCATTTACCAGCGAATGATAACATTTCGTTCTTCTTCATGGCTGCATAAAATTCCATTGTGTATAGATACCACATTTTCTTAATCCATTCGTCAGTGCTGGGGCATCTTGGCTGTTTCCATAACTTGGCTATTGTGAATAGTGCCGCAATAAACATGGATGTGCAGGTGCCTCTGGAGTAACAGTCTTTTGGGTATATCCCCAAGAGTGGTATTGCTGGATCAAATGGTAGATCGATGTCCAGCTTTTTAAGTAGCCTCCAAATTTTTTTCCAGAGTGGTTGTACTAGTCTACATTCCCACCAACAGTGTAAGAGGGTTCCTTTTTCCCGCATCCTCGCCAACACCTGTTGTTGGTGGTGTTGCTGATGATGGCTATTCTAACAGGGGTGAGGTGGAATCTTAGCGTGGTTTTAATTTGCATTTCCTTTATTGCTAGAGATGGTGAGCATTTTTTCATGTGTTTTCTGGCCATTTGAATTTCTTCTTTTGAGAAAGTTCTGTTTAGTTCACTTGCCCATTTCTTTATTGGTTCATTAGTTTTGGGAGAATTTAGTTTTTTAAGTTCCCTGTATATTCTGGTTATCAGTCCTTTGTCTGATGTATACTTGGCAAATATTTTCTCCCACTCTGTGGGTGTTCTCTTCAGTTTAGAGACCATTTCTTTTGATGAACAGAAGCTTTTTAGTTTTATGAAGTCCCATTTATCTATGCTATCTCTTAGTTGCTGTGCTGCTGGGGTTTCATTGAGAAAGTTCTTACCTATACCTACTAACTCCAGAGTATTTCCTACTCTTTCTTGTATCAACTTAAGAGTTTGGGGTCTGATATTAAGATCCTTGATCCATTTTGAGTTAATCTTGGTATAGGGTGATATACATGGATCTAGTTTCAGTTTTTTGCAGACTACTAACCAGTTTTCCCAGCAGTTTTTGTTGAAGAGGCTGCTATTTCTCCATCGTATATTTTTAGCTTCTTTGTCAAAGACAAGTTGCTTATAGTTGTGTGGCTTCATATCTGGATCCTCTATTCTGTTCCACTGGTCTTCATGTCTGTTTTTGTGCCAGTACCATGCTGTTTTTATTGTTATTGCTAGTTTGAAGTCAGGTATTGTGATACCTTCCTGCATTGTTCTTTTGACTGAGTATTGCCTTGGCTATTAGTGGCCTCTTGTGTTTCCATATAAATTTAACAGTAGATTTTTCAATCTCTTTAATGAATGTCATTGGAATTTTTATGGGAATTGCATTAAACATGTAGATTACTTTGGGGAGTATCGACATTTTTACTATGTTGATTCTACCAATCCATGAGCATGGGAGATCTCTCCACTTTCTATAGTCTTCCTCAATCTCTTTCTTCAGAAGTGTATAGTTTTCCTTGTAGAGGTCTTTCACATCTTTTGTTAGGTTTACACCTAGGTATTTGATTTTTTTTGAGGCTATTGTAAATGGAATTGTTTTCATACATTCTTTTTCCGTTTGCAAAGCGGACTTTTTAAGTGCCTCCGGAGGGTTTACTGGATGCTTGAAATGTCAGGCTTACAATATAACTTGTTATAGAGCATCCTGCCAGATCACTGTATTCATGGTTAATGTTCATGTGACCTGATGTGTTCACTGTGCAACTGACCAGCACTATCTCCATGAGATCTTCCACTGTTTCTCCCTTCAAGGTGTTTTCCCACAGAAACTCTGTTTAGTTTGAGAGGAGGACTAGGGAGATCTTCCTCCCTTCCTGTCAATTTTCCTTCAAAGTCTTTTCCTCTTTCACTGTTTTGTGATGATGGCACCCAGCAAGAGAGTCTTAACGAAATTAGGATCGCCCTCACACTTTAGCCAGAACATATGAATACAGAGAAGCATCCACATAGTAACCATCATGTACACACATGCTTTTTATAACATTTTTTTAAAAGGTTTTTTTAGTGTAGTTTTAGGTTCACTGAAAAATTGAGAGGAAGCTATTACAGAGAATTTCCATACACTTCCTGCCCCCACACTTGCATAGCCTCTGCCATGATCGCCACAGTGGTGTAGTTGTTACAACTGATGAACCTTCACTGACACACCAATATCATCCAAAGTGCATAGTTAACGTTAGAGCTCATTCTTGGTGTTGTACATCTTATGGGTTTGGACAAATGTATAATGACTTATATCCTAGCTAGGAGTTGGTGGCTCACGCCTATAATCCTAGCTACTTGGGGGGCTGAGATTGGGAGGATTTCAGTCTGAGGCCCGGGCAAACAGTTCCTGAGACCCTCATCTCCAAAATAATCAGAGAAAAATGGACTGCAGGTGTGGCCCATGTGGTAGAGCACCTGCTTTGCAAGCTCAAAGTCCTGAGTTCAAATCCCAGTACTGAAAAAATTTTTTTATAAACTTAATTTTATCAAAGTAATTCTTTAATTTAAAAATAAAATATTAGCAAGGCAAAGTGCTAGCTGCTTGGGAATGGAGATCTGGAGGATTGAAATTCAAGGGCAGTTCAAGAAAAAGTTCTCTACACCTCCAGTAGCTGGGCGATGGCATGCACCTGTCATCCCCAGCTTTGTGGGAAAGCAAATAGGAGGATCATAGGCCAGGCTGGCCCACACAGAGTGAGACCTTATCTCAAAAAAATGACCAAACCAAAAATGACTGAAAGAGTGGCTCAAGTGGTAGAGCACCTGCCTAGCTAGCATGAGGCCCTGAGGTCACCCTGCAGTATTGCCCCCCACCAAAAGTCAAATGATCTTTTTCTTTTCTTTGACAGGCAGGTGCTCTACCACTTGAGCCATGCCCTTAAATAATACTAATTCTTCAAATTAAAACATAAAAAACAGTTCTCCTGGGCATGATGGTATACACCTGTATCAGCACTCAGGAGGCTAAGGCAGGAAAAATCTCAAGTTCTAGGCCAGCTCTGGGCTACATAATGAGACCCTTGTCAAAAAAAAAAAATCACAGTCAAGAAAGAATAAACAGCTGGGCACCAGAGGCTCACACCTTTAATCCTAGCTACTCAGGAGGCAGAGGTCAGGAGGATCGAGATGCAAAGCCAGCCTGGGCAAATAATTTGCAAGACCCTGTCTCAGAAATACCTACCACAAAAAGGGCTGCAGAGTGGCTCAAGTGGTAGAGCGCCTGCCCAATACTACCAAAAAACACAAACCAAAAAAAAGACTACAGTATGTACAAGGAACAAAAGGAACAAAACAGCAACAGAAAGCTTCATGGCTGATGAATAGCACATGGGAAGAGGAGTATCAGGAAGATAGGCAAAAGCTGGACTCAAATGCTTGGCATGCCACACTTTATTTTGTAAACATCAGAGATCAGCAAAGGAAATAAATGGTCAGATTTTTGCTTTAGAAAAATAACTCCAGGGCCAGCAATAAATCAGAGCATTATTTCTCTCAATAACTGCATGAGAATTTTGAGGAACAAAGCATATTAAAATGAAGATTTCTAGGGCCCATATTTTACTGAGTGAGAATATCTGGACTCAAGGCCTGAGAATCTACAGTTGTTACATGGCTACCAGACTGACTCTTGTGGACTCTAAAGTCAGTTCCAGGCCAAACTGGGCTACAGTGAGACCCTGTCTCAAAACAAAACAAGTTAGATCTGTATATGATGAAGCAATTGTTAAGCTACAGTAAAGTGACCCTACATAACTGTGAGTTATGCAAATACTTGCGGCAGGACGACGATTAAAAATACAAGGGAAGTTGTGTATAAATTAAGTAAATACTATAAGCATCTGAAGATTTCCTTGGAAAGTCCTGAACTAATCAGATAGATATGGAAGACTGTATTTATTCCAGCCTGCTCTGTGATGTTCATCAAGATATTCGATACCTTAACTATCATCCTGTAAAATGGCAAAGCACTCACAGGCATAAGCTCATTTTGGGTGTCAGGAATTCCTGAGTTAGATAAAGGATTCATCACCAATTAATGGATTGGATAAGGAGATAAGAGTTTCACAGGAAGTGCAAGACATTCTTATGTATTTGCTGCTTGTTTCTTGTCTATCTCCTCCTGCCATCTAAGTCCTAGGAGAGCAGAATCCTGCTGTCACCCACAGCGCTGATGGGGCTCCTGTGCCATGGATCTTGGCGAACAGTAGACTCGCGGCGAATACTTTAAAAGTGAAAAGTGCAAAGAGAGACAAAAACAGAAAAAAAACGATACAATGCTGTGTCAAAGAAAGACGAAGAATTAAGAGATCCAGTCTTTCTTTTAACCATTGTTCACGCAGTGCTAGAAGACGAAGATCCCTATCCTTACGGCACTGACAATGCCAGTGTCTGATTGTGACTCTGGAACTCGGGAGCGTGGAACCATGACAAGTCATCTGACTTCAGCTTCAGGCCTTAATTCCTTGTTTGTAAAATAAGGCGCTGGTCAGAAGTACGATGACAACGAAAGCCCTGTCCTGATCTCAGTTTTGTAATTCATCTGCTTTGCTCCCTTGCCTCAGTTTCTCCCTTTCGCAGTGAGCGTGAGAACGTGTGCCCAGCAAGTAGAGGCGGAACTATGGTCCAGGACTGGCTTCCTAAGGAGCTATAGAAATGCTAAACAGTAACCGATCTGGAGGCGGAACACAAATGTGGCACTGTTCCTTTTCCTCCCTGGCCGTGGCCCCTGCAGCCTCCGGGCGGCTCCCGGAGCCGCGCGCTCCTCTTTAGGCCGAGTCTCCCCAGGTCTGGGAAGGTGGAGGGGGGCTGGCACCCACTGTAGAAGATGCTCCCCCTTCCAGGGCAAGGAACAGTCCTGCAAATAATACCCGGGGGCAAGAGGAAGGCCCCTATTGGCCGGAAGGCAAGTGACGAACAGGGGGCGGGGCTTCCAGGGGGAGGGGCCGTGAAAAGGAGGGGGTGTGCGCCGCCGGGTGTCAGTTTTCCAAGTCCCAGGGCGCTCGCGTCTGCACTGTGGGATCTGAGCACAGTTTCCCGCTAAGGCTTCTCCCTCTGCTGGATGAGAGCTTCTGCGGGCTGGGCACCCTCGCGCCGCCCGGCATCTCCTCCAGCGCGGCCCTTCGTGCGTTTCCTCGGTGGTGCTCTGCTCCGGAAGACTTTCTGTTTGTTTGATTCCTCCTTCTCCCTCTTTGTTGCTCTGAAAACCGGCCTCGCCGCAGTCCCCCACTCCGGAGGGAGTTGGAATTCTCGAGAAAGGCGGCTGCCGCGCTCTGCACAGCCCCTCCTGCGGACCCGCCAGCCGGTGCGCCCACCCCGCCTGCCTTACCCGCCGCCTGCTTTCGTTCGTCGGAGGAAGCCAACCGAGACTTCATTGATGCACCCATTCCAGTGGTGTAACGGTGAGTCCCGGAGCGGGGAGGCGAGCGGGCTCTGGGATGGCCAGAGATGCCGAGGGGGGCGCACGGTTTGCCATCAGTCTGGGCTGGGTCTTTGCTCTTGAGCTAAGTTTTTCCTGCAGTGGGACGGCCGAGAAGGCGTCCTGGAGCCCAGCTCCGCTCTGCACAGCGCGGAATTTGAAACAATCCGGTTTAAGCTTGGGGACCTGGAAGGGTCTCCGAACGTGTGGCGGGCCAGGGGCGTGGGAGTCAAGGACTCCAGCCTTTGTGTGGCGGTTCGGCTCCTCTGCCTCCTTCCCCTGCCTTTGTGCGCTCAAACTCTTGTTCTTTGTTGTTGTGGTTGGAGGAGAATTAAATCCGCGCTCCGGCTAGGAGCTCCTAGAGGGAGCTCAAGTTCCCGGCCTGAAACTTTGCAGGCTATTTTAAATATGTATACAGTGCAGCGTGCGGGACGGGACGCGCGGGCGGCTTCCTCTCCCTTTGTTGCCTGCTAGGGGAACTTCGTGCCTCCGGAAGACGCTGGATTGAAGACTGTCGCTTTACCGAATTGATGAAGCCTCGCAGATACCTCGGCGTCCAGCTATCCCTAGGGTGCGGGCTGGCCTGGCAGGGTTTTTACTTTCTGGCCCCAAGGCCAGACCATGGAGTCTGCTCCCGATCCTAGGAGGAGTGACTGCACCTCCAGACCCAATCATCTCCATCCCGTGATGCTACTAACTGACTCCATCTCATTTTAGGCTTTGGGGCGGTTCAGGTGATACAGATTAGGCTTGGGTCTGGATTACTCGCCCATGGTACCGGAAGAAGGATCTTTCTGAGCGAGTCACCTCAAAACCTTAGATACGATACACACTCACCCCTCCCTCAGTGGTACTAGAGTCTGACCGCGTTTTTCTAAGATTTGGAGAGTTGCGGGGGAGGGCGGTGTGGGAAGCAGCTGGCCTTATTTTAAGTAAGGCAGGCTGGCTAGTTAGGGGGGAAAAAAATCCAGTCTTGAGAGTATACTTCTGCCAGATCTTGGATTAATTATTTCAAGAGGCTTTTGTTTTAAGGCAGGGTTTGGGCAGCATGTGTATGAGTGTCCCCCATCCCCCTTCTTCCTCCTTTTGCTAGTCGGATCTAATTCCCTGAAAATGAACCAAGCTGTGTAAGATAGGTGGGCCACGCGGGGTGGGGAGGCGCGGGAGGATGGGGGTTGAGGAAAGACCGTGCATCCCAGATGGGAGAGATTCCCGCTGGCTGGAAAAGAGAAGCAGTTTCCAGCTCCGCTGGTCTTTCTTGGCTTGTCCTTCTCTTACGTCATTCCTGCGCTCAGCCTGTCGGCTGAGATGAAACATTCTGATGAGAAGGCTTTCATAGGTTGGCCGAAACAATGGAACAGAGACTTAGGGAGAACTAAGGTCACTGTCACTTACACTAGTCTCTCTTCTGAGCAGCTCCCTTTCATATGAGACCTTAGACCTATGGAAGTCTTTCTCCCCAATTCTCCTGCTGCGGATTGAACCCAGAGCCTTGCTCAAGCTAAGTATATCTCTACCACTGAGCAACATCCCTACTTTCACTTCTTAAAGTGACTGACAGATCCTGGCCTTTAACTTTATTGACTTTTTTTTTTTTTTTTTTTTTTACCCCTTTTGGAGCCCCTGTTTCCTGGGCCTGTTATTCTCTGACATTGTAAATTTTAGAGAAAAACTCCACTGTCTGCTTTTGGCCGGTGTATTACTTTCCATTTTTCTTTAATAGTACAAGTTGAGCATCCCTAATATGAAAATCTGAAATTCAAAATGCTGCAAAGTCCAAAGCTTTTTGAGTGCCGACATGATACCATGAGTGAAAATTCCACATCATGAAAGTTTCATGCACAAAATTATTTAAAACACTGTCAAAAATACCTTCAGCTGGTGGAGTGGTTCAAGTGGTAGAGTGCCTGCCTAGCAAGCATGAAGCTCTGAGTTCAAATCCGAGTACCACCACCAAAAAAAAAAATACCTTCAGGCTATATGTATGTGATGTATATGAAATATAAATGAATTTTATGTTTAGACTTGGGTCCCATTCCCAAGACATCCCATTATGTACATGCAAATATTTGAAAGTCTGAAAGAAAAAAATCCAAAATCAAAAACACTTCTGGGGTCAAGCATTCAGGATGAGGGATACTGAAAACATAATACAAGCAAATGAACTGTCTCCTTGAAGCTCTTCCCACCTGCCTCCTTATTCATTCCATGATGTCCCCAGGGAAAGCCTCCAGGAGATGGAAAAGAGGAGATAAAGTGCTTCAGGATGCTGGGGCCAACACCTGCAGGGTACATGTGACCACTCTGCAATAGCTCTGCAAGTTCCTAGATGAGGAAACAAAGTGAGGTTCTTTAGACCCAGAACTTACCAGGATCCAACTAATGAAAGACACATGGAAGAGCACAGGCAAATGAGGTTGGGGGAGAAGCCCTCTTAAAGCAGCCACATTACTGTCGCATTGCAGCAGCAGTTGGTGTGGAGGCTGCTGGTGTCCGTGGTCCCATTGGCACTGAGTATGAAGTTTTCTGGAAGGGAAGTCCTGAGGCCCTTTACCAGTGTAGAATGAAGGTTGGCCCTCTCTAACATTTCCAAATGATGTCTTCCAGGAAAATTGATCTCTTTTGACCTGTGGAGAGCAAATATTTGAAAAGGACGGGGTAGTGAAAATGACTTTCTTTCTAACCCCTGCTGAAGCCTAGAAGCAAGAGGCTTCCTTTTGGGCAAAGCAAAGTTTAGTGGCTAATTATTTCTTTAATTTCCCCCTAATCAAAATATCCTTCAGAACAAGAACTTCTTTTGCTTTCTGTTTCCCCACAAGGTCTAGGTCAGACATAGAGCAGGCCTACAACAAGGCTTGTTGGCTGACTGATGATTTATTAGCTGAGGGCAGTTTCTGGGCAGTTTTCCCAAACATCAGTCTTCTTACTTTGAAGCAGAAGCTTTTGCCAAGAGGACCAGGTTGTTTTGAGAAAGTGGGGAGTTATTTATCTACTAACTAGTTATAGAGACAAGCCAAACACTAGTCTAGGCACTGGAGAATATATAGAAGTCCAAGTTGCTATCCTCAGAGCTTAGAGTATTCAGGCTTCTTAGGAGGACTGAACCTCCTTGGTGGTTCTCATTCTTATTCCCAAGATTATGCACAACCTCTACTACTTATATAGTGAATTTTTTTTTGTTTGTTTTTTTGGTGTGGTACTAAGGGTTGAACTTAACTGCTTATGGGAGTGTGCTAAGGTAGCAAAAACTGTTATATCTCTTCTTTCCTATATGGTAAGATCATCTAATCATTCTGTGCTCTTTTTGTTTGTTTTGTTTTGTCTTTGAGACAGGATCTCATTGTGAAGCCTAGGCTGGCCTCCAACTCGTGATCCCCCTGCCTCGGCTTCTCAGCTGGATCACAGGCTTGTGCCACCACCAGTTCTTCTATACTCTTTCATGCTTAATGTCAATCATAGTGCTTACTAATAATCAATGCATACTACATATTTGAGTCAAATTAAGTTGCTACTAGTGACAACTGGCCAATGTGAGACACTTACGAAGTGAACAAGAGCCAAAGCAAGTGATACAGGTCCCTGATGGTGTGGGAGTTCAACTATGATATATTGTAAGAACTTTTGTAAATGTCACGATGTGCCCCTAGTACAATAATAAAAATGATAATATTTTTAAAAAGGTTAAAAAGTGATACTGGTCCTGAGCACTATAGAATTTAGGCAGAAATGGATCATTGGAATATCACAAAGACCAGACCTGGTAGACTTCAGAGAGGGTGAGAGAGTTCTAGGCAGGGAAATCCCTGTAAACAAAGATATGGAGGAAGATGGGCAGGGTTGGACAAGAAGTATTAAGGAGATTGGCCTGCATGGGATTAATGTTGGAGAACGCTGAGTGGTACCTTGCAAAGATGCAGGGCACATTTTGGAAGGACTTGAATGCAACCAGGAGTTTGGAAAATGATAAATGGCGTGGGAGTAATGTGTAAGGTAATTAGAGAAGGAGTTAGAAATAGTGATGACATCAATTATGAGACAGTACAGGTAATGAGTGCGTGGAATAGGGTGTGGCAATTGAGTGGAACACAGTCAAGGAGATTTGGATGGAGGCTTATGGTCACCACTGTGACAGAATGCCTGATGTAAACAACTTAAGGCGGAAAGATTTATCTGAGCTCATAGTTTCAGTCTAACACATTGGGAAGGGCATGGCTTCACATCGTAGCAGACAGGAAGCAGAGAGCTAGAGAGGGGTCACCCCCAGTGACCTACTTCCTCCAGCTAGTCCCTACATCCCAGTTTCTAGAACCTTTCCAAAATAGCACCACCAAGCCAGGCACTGATGGCTCATGCCTGTAATCCTAGCTACTCAGGAGGCAGACATCAGAAGGATCACAGTTCAAAGTCAGCCCAGGCAAATAGCTTGTGAGACCCTTTCTTGAAAATACCCAACATAAAAAAAAACGGCTGATGGAGTGGCTCAAGTTGTAGAGCACCTGCCTAGTAAGTGTGAAGCCCAGAGTTCAAACCCCAGTCACCACCACCCCCTCCAAAAAAAAAAAAAAAACACCACCAGGGGACAAGTATTCAACACATTTGCCAGGGGCAGGGAAGTTCATATTCAAGCCGTGACACTGTGTCAGCATTGATTCCAGTCTTTTGAACCAGCCGTCTACTGAGTTGTGACAGCCCTGGTAATTACCAGGTTGAATTCTACTGTATAGTAACAGGTCCTGGCTTTTAACCAAGATGCCAGGAGAGTGCCTAGAACCTAAGACCTGAGTGCAGAGAGGCTTTTGGAGCATGACCTCCTTAGCTATTGGACTGTGGGTAGATTACTGAATTATTGAGTCTTTTCTCCATTGGTGTGGAAAGTGGCGCCTTACTGTGGCATGACAGAGATGAAACTGGAATCCTGGCGTGCCCCACAGTCTCAGCTACTCTGGAGGCTGAGGCAGGAAGATCACAGTTCCAGGCCAGCCTGAGCAACATAATGACACCATCTGTTAAATAAATAAATAACAAAAACCAAAGATAAAATTGAAAGCATGAAATGTGGTTGGAATGAGGCAGCAGGCCTCGTTAATCAGAGCCTCTTCCCTTTCTCACTGCCATGTTCAGCCTTTGCCTTTCTGTCAAGTCTGTTCTCTTTCCAGCTACAATATGGACCCTACTCATAGTTGGGGAGGCATAACAAGAAGAAAAATTTTCCTTAAAGGAATTTTTTTTTTTTTTGATACAGGAGTAGCTCAGACTGGCTTCAAACTCAACACTCTCCTGCCTCTGTGCTGGGATTATAGGTGTGCACTACCAAACCCAGCTAAGAAAATCTTTCCTTATCTATCAGATTTTCTCTTTGTTTCTTGCCCAGAACCTGGTCACATGCCAGCTTCAACACCAAATCCTGGTAAGGGGGAGATGACTACAACAATTGGAGGCCACCAACATCTAGTCATGTGAGAAGGGAAGCCACCGGAGGCTAGCCATTGCCCTCAAACTATATGTGCAGAGGAATTCCTGAGTAGCTCATTGAAATGTCCATTCTGATTTATTTAGTTTGGGATAAGCCTGAGATTCTGCATTTCTCACAAGCTCCTGGTACTACCCACTGCCACTTTGGGACTGCATCTTGGGGCCTTGAGTAGAAAAGGACAGTTGACCCATAAGGGAGGCTGCAACTCCCGTCTCCTGCCCTCCTGTTCCCCTCCCCCATCACCACTTTCTGGAACACTGGCTGGGTCTTGGAGTGAACAATTTCTATTCTAGTCCTGGCACAGCTTGTCTTCTGAAGCAGGTGGTTTAATAATGACAAATGACCTTTGCAATTGCACTTTGCAATTTACAAAGCCTGTTTCTTAAGCCCTCATTTTCATTCCTCTCTATATTTTGCTAGTTTTTCTATGACAAAGTGAAGCCTAAAGAATTAAGATCTTAAAGGTCACAAGACTAGCTGGGGAGAGGTGGGCCAGAACCCAAATAATATGTCTACACACCTAAGGCTTTTCATTTTACTGCTGTACTCTGTGGGCTTCTTCTGCCAGAAGGAACTAAGGTTTACATTTTCTGCCCATTGCCTGAATCTTTGATCCCTTTAAGTACTTTGTATACCATTCCATTTCACAGATTGGTTAAATAATTTACCCAAGATCATGCAGCTGGGAAGGGTTAGACTGGAATATAAGCTCAAGCTACCTAATCAAAGGTGGAGGAGCCCCAGAGCCTGCCATTCCTGCAGGAATGTTAGTGTTCCGTCAGCCCCAGTGGTAAATGACTAACTCCAATAATATATCTTTCCTCTTCCTTTGCAGGGTGTTTCTGTGGCCTGGGACTTGTTAGCACCAATAAGTCCTGTTCAATGCCACCCATCAGTTTCCAAGACCTTCCCCTCAACATCTATATGGTCATCTTTGGCACGGGCATCTTTGTCTTCATGCTCAGCCTCATCTTCTGCTGCTATTTCATCAGGTAGGTGGGTCCCTGCCTAATCTGGGGAGGGAAGCCAAGAGGGAGGAGGCCAGGGAGTAGAGGAGGCTGAGCAAGGGTCCTTCAGCAGAGCCTTGTGCTGGAGCCGCTGCTGGAAGGCCTTGGCTTAGCCTGCCCTTCTTTGGGCCCCTGAGGCTGGTGTTTCTATTTACATCAGCCTATCAAGTTGTCCCAGAGCAAATAAGGTCATAGAAGGTTGGACTACATCCCATGTCTTGGCCAGTTATTCTAAGCTTGCCTACTATGATTATCTGGCTGGGTAGTATACTTGGTGGTCCCTTAACTGATCTTGCTTCCCCACTCATGCCCCTCAGGTGGCCAGGAACAAGGGGTAACCAGTTACACCATCAGCAGGTTTCTTTGCCCTCTCAGAAAATCCTCTAGATGCTGATTAACAAGCTGATGACTAGAAAGATACTTATTGTTCTGCCTTGTAAGTTTTTATTTTTGAGAGTAGAAAAAGAAAATAGAAGAGAAGAATGATGGGGTAGCCATGCTCCAGGTACTGTTTACTGTCCTCCTGTTTAAGGACATGGGAACTGGTGGCTGTTTTCTACTAAAAATTTGGGTCATGATTGGTATTTAGAGTGGAAATCAAAGTAGTAGTTTTTCTGACAGGGCTGTGCTATTGGTATTGGGTGGGACTGCCTTGTACATTGGAGAGGGCTGACCATCCTTGGTCAGCAGAACATGTTAGTAATTTTTGGAGCTATTATGACAACTAGTCACCTGCCACACCACACACCTTATCAGATGCCAGGATATACATCAACTGGGAGCTGATCAAATCATTTAAGAAAGTTAAGTGAAAGGAGTCCTTGTGCCCTACTGGGTAAGTGCTGCAGCTGGAATGCAGCTAGAGGGGAGGCAGACACTCATCTGCATTCTCTAAGGTTGGAAGATGAAGGAGATACCCACTCCTGCATTGCTCCCAAGTCCCAGTTGGCTATCGTGGGGCTCTTCTTCTTCAGAACCTTTCAAAACAGGTCCCTGGGACTTGAATTTTCCACTTAAGTCAACGCAGAGAAAATAGTGCTTTCTTTTCTTTCTTGCACAATTGTGTGTAAGATTCATATTTAACTGCTAAGTAGGAGTGAGGGTAAACTTGTGTATCTTTCCTTCCTTTCCTTTCCGCTTTCCTCTTTCTGTACCCTAAATTTACTCCCTCAAACTATTATGACTAGCAAGCTTTCCCCCACAAACCCCATATCAAGCAGTTCACTGACTTTCCCTGATAGCTGAAGGTAGACACATATCAAACAGCAGACTTTTAGGATGAGGCTGGGAGGAACCTGTAAAACCAACCCTGTTTGGTCCCTTTACACACACACACACACACACACACACTCAAATAGCAAAGGTGGATAACAGAAGAAAATCCAGAGGCCACCACTCTGGCTAGGAAGTAGGTAAGTTAGGTGACCAGGATTCATTTCCTAAGGGTCAGTAATAGACGTGACCATAGATTTTCAGCTGGTCTTTGCCAAGGGCCTTCTTGTTTCCCAGGCATTATAGTCAGCATTTTGTAAATCATTTAACTGGCTTAATTCTCTGAACAGCCCTCAAGTTTAAGTATTTGTATAAATGAAGACATTCATGCTCAGACAGTTAAGGATTTGCCCAAGGTCATATATCCAGCAAGACGCTGAGGTGGGCTAATTTGGGAACAATTAGCTAGTCTTTCAGATTCCTTCCATATTTTTGCCTTTTGCCTAAAGTACTTCCCTTTACTTGCATGGAACTAAAGGAGCCACTGTGGCATCTGTGGCCACCCTCTTAGAGCTGGGCATCGGGATCCTGCAGAAGGCCAGGCTGGGGAGCTGAATATCACTGGTTCATTTCTCCTTGGCTGGAGCAAAAGAACAGCAGTAATCACATGATACTAAAAGCTTTCCCCACTGTGGTTCTGTTCGGTGCCACCTGTCTCTTCTGCAGTAATCTGCTCCTTCATCACTCTGTCCTCTTCCTGTAGCTTGCCTGAAGCCCATTGACCCTGGAGTTTCATGGTTCCAGAAGCTCACTGGTATGTGATACGTGTGCCTATATATAGAAAGACACACAAGCACAGAAGCCACTTCCGCTCCCTGTTTCTCCGTTTCCTCCTCAGCCAAAATAGGCTCATGACCACTGCTCCTGACCCAGTGAGCTCATGGGCCAAGGCCAGCCTCCACTCCCAGCTGCCCCTTTCTCTTTCTCCCCCCAACCCTTAGAACTGACCTCTCCCCAACACAGGATGGAGGGGCCAGTGGAGTACAAATAGGCAGGAAAGGAACAATTATTTTCAGGACCTGGCTGCATTGTTTGTTCTAAAAGGGAAGAGAGGAAAGGGAGAGCCCGCTGGCAGTGGCTAGAAATGGTCTCATTGAAATTGGTATTTTTAGTTGCATTGCTCAGCCAACAGCTGAGAAGGCCACCTGTCCAAAGTTGGCTCTACATCCCCAGCTGGGATGGCCCAGGGTCTTTTTTTTCTGCTATGTTTTCCTTGCAACCTTTTCAGCCCATTTCATCATGATCTAATCCTTCCTGAGCTGAAATCTTTATGCAGGACAAAAGTACAGTTCTGAGGCCTTTCTCTATTCAGAGAATGCTGGAGGATTCCTGGGTAAGAGCAGACAGAAAAGACAGGGGAGGGTACCTTAGGCAACTAGAGCCTGGCAAGCAGAGAGGCCCTGCACATCTACACAGGTCTCGCCATGTTGCAGGCGAGGCAGTTGAGCCTCAGAAGCTGTGTGACATTCCCTCAGTCCCCCACACAGCATTCAAAATGGAGTGTAACTTAGTGGTAGAGGGCTTGTTTAGCATACATTCAATCCTCAGAACCAGAGAGAGGAGAGAGAGAGAAACCACACACAGGCCATTCACCACTTCCTTATTTACTCTAACTGTACCTCAGAATGAAGTAACAGTCTTTCTCCCTCAGAAGGCTGCTTTGAGCTTCCTGATAATAGGAACACAGCCTTCCTTCCTCAGCTTACTCAGTGTCACTCATGTAGCAGGTGGCTTGCTTAAGCGTTAGATGCATGCTTCTCTGCCCTCATTTGGAAGTTGAGAAAAAGACATGTGTGTTATATATGGAGATCTTTTCTGAGTCATGCATAATGATGAACACCTGAAATCACAGTACTCAGGAGGATCTCAAGTTCAAGACCAGCCCAGGCTGCTCTATGAATAGCAAGACCCTATATCCAGAAACAAACAAACAAACAACAACAACAACAACAAAAAAACAACCTTTTCTGAATCAAGGAGTTCTCTACCAAGTTAAGAATGTGACAGTGTCATGCTAATGGGTGAATGCGTACAGGAGTAATGGGGAAAGGGAAGGAAACCCAAAACTTGAAAGTGTTTGATGTCCCCACTGTAGAGTAGCTAATACAGTAACCTTAAAGCACAGAGGTCAATATGGGAAAGTGATCAGGAACTAGTGAAAAGGTCAGGTAAAGATGAATCAATTCAGGTTGTAATACACTTGTGCATGGAAGCAATACAGATATATCTCTCGGTATAGCTATCCTTATCTCAACTAGCAAAAATGCTATGTCTTTCTTATTATTGCTTATGTCTGCGCTTCAACAAAACTGGAGAGAAGGGCCTAGAAGCGAGGGGTGTTGGGGGAGAAGGAGGGGCGGGAGCAGGGGGGAGAAATGGCCCCAACAATGTATGCATATATGAATAAATGAATAAACAATAAAAATTTTTAAAAATTTAAAAAAGAATGTGACAGTGGGAGCCCTACTTGGTCCTTTCACCCAACCCTGCAGTGAGCAGAAAGCACATGGTGCAGAGAAGGGGAAGGGGACAGTGACTGTGTGGCCCCAATTCCAAGTCCCTGGCAGGAATCCAGGTGGACTGGACTTTTCTCCCAGCTCCTGGAACTGAAGACCTTGCCAGGTCACATGACATCCTGTCAGGAAGGATGGAGGAGGCTGGTAGCCTGATCTCATCAGCTCTACACTGTGCCTCAGGCCTGGCCCACCTGCACCTTCTGTCTCTGCCACCACCCAGGGACAAGTTTCAGCCTCTCTTGATTTGAGGTTCTGTTTTTCTAACTCAGGCCAGCAATCGTTTTTTCTCTAGAGGCTTTTGGGGTCATGAGGTCGCTATCACAACCGCTCATCTCTTCTGTTAATGTGCCAAGGCAGCTGACAGAACACATAAACCGAGCACTGCTGTATACCAACATTTAATGGGCACTGAAATTTGATTATTTTTTTTTCCAGTGCTGGCAATGGAACCCAGGCTAAGCAAACACTCTAGCACTGAGATATTGCCCAGTCCTGGATATTTAAGTCATGAGATATAAATATTTTCTATTATTATTAGTTTGTTTTTCTAAGACATTATTCTTTATTTGTATTTTTAACCATTGAGCGTGAAAGCCATTTTTAGCCTGAACCCTATAAAAACAGTTAGTGAGCTGGACTTGGCCCTCATTCAGCCCCTGCTCTAATTTAGTACGTTTATAATGGCTCCTTCCAATAACCCATGACTATGTTAGAAATAATTAGTGGGAGCTAGGGGTAGAGCTCAGTGGTACAGCCCATGCTTAGCATGCATGGGAACCTGGGTTCAATTCCTAAAGCTGAAAACAAAAAAAATGCTGAGAGAGAAAGCCCTATTAGGTTCCTTCTTAACTGCCATGTATAGGAGGCCATCTAAAGTTATCAGCAACTGAGCATTGTGGTATACATCTATAATCCCAGCATTCAGGTGGCTGAGGCAGATGGATTGTCAGTTCAAGGATAGCATGGGCTACAAAAAAACAAAAACAAAAGCAAACAACAACTACAAAAAACTGACTGCAGAATTCAGAGTGAAAGTTTCCTCCTAATGGAAATAGAAGGGCACAAAATCTCCACATAATTATGGTCTCAGCCATTTGTACAGTGAACCCATTCAGAGTCAAAATCTTAATGAAATGTAGGGTGTGTCCCAAGATAGATCACTCTTCCACTATGATGCGTACCACCTGATTGGGGGGCAGGTCACTTTCTGTGACGAAGAGGATGGGTTCTGTAATCACACGGAATTTGATTCAAATCCAGGCACTGCTACAATGAAGTTTGGGCAAATTGTTTAGCTTCTTGGGTTTCATTTTCCTCATTTATAAAAGGGCAATTGTCTTCCTCAACTTTCCTGAATTCAAGGAGAATGTATTTGACAGTGTCAGTATGTGAGCCACACAGCATGTACTTGGTGGGCCAGTATACATTGCTATTAGTAACAGCATACTGTGTTTTGGCTATTGAGACTTGAGCCACTGGCTTAAAATGAAAAGAGAAAACAAAGAAGGCGTCGTTTGTGCTGTTGGTCTGGCACTGAAGGCAACAGTGTGCTTTGGTTCCAGAACACTTGTATTCTCTGGGTGGAAAATTCCCCAGGGTCAACAGAAGCTTATTTATCTTGCTACCCTGACTTAATGGAAATACCCCTTTTAAGAATATATGAACCTGGCAACCGTGGATCACAACTGTAATCCTAGCTACTTGGGATGCTGAGATTGGGAGGATCACAGTTCAAGGCCAACCTAGGCAAATAGTTCAAGAGACGCCCCCCCCCCCATCTCCAAAATCACCAGAGCAAAATGGACCAGAGGTGTGGCTCAAATTGTAGAGCACCTGCTTTGTAAACGTGAAGACCTCAGTTCAAACCGCAGTCTCATCAGGGAAAAAAAAAAAAAGAATATCTGTGTAATCTGGAGGCATGGCTCAAGTGGTAGAGTGCAAGCCCAAGTCCTGCGTTCAAACTCCAATACTGCCCTCTCACTAAGAGAGAATACCTGTATAACTCCCTGTGTATACTCTGTAAGCACATCATTGATATTTGGACACCTGAAGGAGTTTACCTACTTGGAAAGGGCAGCAAGAGTAAATTAACTCTTTGGGGTGCAGTGCTGGAGAATACTCTAGAATGTGTATGGGACCTGGCAGTAAATCAGTAAGAGTTTTAGTCCTTAATCCACTCTGGGTGGTTCCAACCACACCCATGGTATCTGTAGGACGAGCACCCTTCCTCACCTCCAGAAAAATGTCCAAGCATTCAGCCTGCCTGGCTGCTGTGGTCATCCTGTTTATGCAGAAGCAGAGTAACCAGCTTTCTCCCCTTTTTCTTCCTCAGCAAACTCCGGAACCAGGCACAAAGTGAACGATATGGCTACAAGGAGGTAAAATGCTGCCTCTTTCCCTGATCTTTCCTTGGCTACTGCCACTTGTCCTAAGGTGACAGGAAGGCAAGCCCAAGCTCCCCTGGCCTGAGCCCTTTTGGGCTCCCCACTGGGCCTCCCTGAGGCTAGACTACCTTCTGTCACTGTCCTCAAGTCAGGCTTGCCCCCAGGCCATCCAGAGCCCTCTGCCTTCAAGGGAGAGTGGAAGTATGAAGGCTGGGACTCCCTTCATTGGTTGATTCCTACCTGGCCCCTGTGGTTGGTGCTTTCAGACTTCATGCCTCCTTTTTCCTCCCCAGGTGGTGCTTAAAGGTGATGCCAAGAAGTTGCAGCTCTATGGGGTAAGTGTCCTGGGACAGTGTGCAGCAGCACGGCAGGTAAAGCAAACAGTGCTTTCTCCAGCTCTGGACCCTTTCCAGAATCTTTGTAGTCCCTGCTGTCATATCTCCTTTGGCCAAACAAAAGGGACTCATCCCAGCAGGTAATCATAAGGAATGTCTGGAGTTAGCTCAGGCAGCAAACAAAGGGATCACAAAAGGGTTTAGGTAGTGACACATGATCTCAGGAATCCTGCTGTGTTAGTCTCTAAGTGAAGGATGGTCACACCCACTCCATGCCATAGGCAGAGTTAAGCTAACTTCACGTGTTCAGCAACTTTCTCCTGGCTTTCACTGAAGAAAATAAAGTCATTTTGCCCATGTAGGCCCTGCCCTAACAGACTGAATCCACTGCAGTGGCTCTTGCCTTTTTCCTCTCCACCCCCCTCCCCAACACATACATCAATTCCTTGGGCCCTTAACTCTGACTTTTTTAATAGGCCATTTCCTGGTCCTGTCCCATCTATGCCTCTGAGGTCACCTAGCTCATTTCCCAAGTGTCCTGTCCAAAGCTCAGACATTCCTAAACAGAGAGTGTTTGTGGTTGTCTCGGTAGGTAGGATTCCAGCATCACCAAGCACCAGGCTGCCTAGACATGGTCTCGTTTCACTCTTAGTTTTGATGTCCACTATTATACCTCAAATTCATAAGCAAGTTCATGTGTCTCTTAAGCCTTCCTCTGTAAGAATAATTCTGCTAAAATCATGGAGGTTAACATATGGGGAAGTAAGTCTGGGTTTAAAGAATTTAACTGTGAGTGGGACTAAGAAAAAAAAAAAGAATGTAACTGACCACAACTGCCACACCCCCTTCATTACATCTAGCTATTACTGGATGCATTAAGCTAGAAAGGATTTTAAACTATTCCTAGAACGGCACTATTCACTGGAAACCTGTGTGATAATAGGGACGTTCTGTGTTCCAGTATGAAACCATTAGCCATGCATAGCTGATGAACTTGGGACATGTAGATAACTACCACTGGAGTGTGCGGGAGGAGGCCATGAATTCTATATTAAAGCAGCTCTGAGCCCATCAAGTGGGCATGAGCAAAAGTTTGCTCTCCCAAACTGACAAAGTTTATAGATGAGAAGTTACCCTTGAAATTAAAAAGTGGCAGCCAAGGCCAAGGTGAACTGTGGGTTTGATCCCTTTATGAGTCTTGTGATAGATGAGTGTGTGAAGATGGCAACTCATGGACAGCAGAACAATATTGGAATAGAGTATCATGTTAGTGGCCTTGGCATGATTAGAAATAATGGCTATTCACCTGGGTGCCAGTGGTTCATAGCTGTAATCCTAGCTACTCAGGAGGTAGAGATCAGGAGGATAGCGTTTCGAAACCAGCCTGGGCAAATAGTTCTAGAGACCCTATCGCCAAAATAACCACAGCAAAATGGACTGGAGATGTGGTTCAAGTAGTAGAGTGCCTGTTCCCTTACTAAATGGACTGGTTCACTATAATGTGAAACTTGGGTCTTGTACTTTAAAAAAAAAAAATTGTGGTGCTGGGAATCAAACTCAGGGCTTTGTGGGTTCTAAGCCCACACTCTACCACTGATCTACACTCCTTGCCTGCATTTTTTATATTAAACTTTTTGTTAAATAAGCCTTGTAATAGTCCAAATAAATGAAGCTAGTGCAGCTGGGGAACTAATGTTCTTCTTATTTTTGGTTAATATAAATTTAAGCAGCCATGTGTGGTTAATGGCTAACATACTGTCAATGCAAATTTGTAAAACAAAGCTAAAGTTTCTCTGGCTGGTGGAGGAGCCTGGGCTGGAGCTTGGTTTTCTTGGCTGAGATGACATAATGGACACTTACGATGGTGAGGGAGCTGCTTCTCTGATCTCCTTTCACACACCCCCTTTCTCTCTGCAGCAGACCTGTGCAGTTTGTCTGGAAGACTTCAAGGGGAAGGATGAGCTAGGCGTGCTCCCCTGCCAGCATGCCTTTCACCGCAAGTATGTGGGCATGTGGAAGAGATTAATCAGCATCTTCTAGAACCTCCCAGTCCCCGCCACCTCCCATCGATGGCTTGCCAGTGATGCACTAGGTTCTATCCTGTCTGGACATTTAGCAATCGAGAGGGGTTAGGTTGAGGCAGGCCATAGGGATATTCTTGTTCTGAGAGGCAGCTGGAGCAGTCTGAGGTATCTTAAAGCTAACAGTTCTCTTTTTTTCAGGTGTCTGGTGAAATGGCTGGAAGTACGCTGCGTCTGCCCCATGTGCAACAAGCCCATTGCTGGTCCTACCGAGGCCACTCAGAGCATTGGAATCCTATTGGATGAGCTGGTGTGAATGAAGGCTGCCTCTACACAGAGGCTGGAGAAGACCTCTTGGTGTATGGATGCCTTGTCCCTCTGCACAGCTACAATGAACAAGACTGTTGGGTAGTGATGGTCATGTTCACCTGAAGGAGAGAGTGGTACAGGGCTAGGTTTCCACTAACAGGGAAAGACCCATTGCCAGACTTCCCCTGCCTTTTTGCCTCCCGAAGCCTCCTTCCCTGTTTCTCAGTACCCATTTCCTCACCCAGCCAGACCATTGCTCCCTGGTACTGGACTATCCACCTGCCTTGTTCCTGCTCTGGGAAAGAATCCATCCTTATCTAGCCATGAACATGGAACACCCCTTCAATGTTTCCTTCAAGAGGACAAGGTGCATTCACCTGGAAGGGAAGAGAAGATTCTCCCCCACCTACCAACCTCCCTCCCTGTCCCACTCTTTCCTTCCAGAGGAAGGTTAGAATGGAAAGAAGGAAAAACTAAGGAGCGAAGCACCTTCACAGGAGGCAAGGGAGACTCTGCATAAGTAGGGGAAAGCAGGGACCTACACAAGGAAAAAGTCAATGTTTACACGGGACCTACCAGAACAAAGGCTGGCCAGGGCTGGCTGACTACAGGGTGAGGGGCTGATCCCTTCCCCTGCTAGGATCTGAGGTGCTATCCACTCTCTCCCTCTCCCTCAGTTATTCTCAGTTAATCTCAGAGCTTCCTGTTCTATGTTGGGGCTTTGAGAGTCCCTCTAGAGGAAGGGCTTGTTCTACACGCAACTGATTCCTAGGAGCTTTTTCTAAAGGATCGAAAGGGGCCTGGGGACGGGTGTCTGGAGGTTACAGCAGCAACAGATATCTGCTTCCCCTTTGTAAATAGTATTTTTATACTTCATCCTCACCATCTCAGGCTTTTCACATGGGACCCCCAGAACAGAGCGGGTAGGAGTCTTCTCTTCCTCCCCAGAGTAGGTGAGGGTGGGAGAATGTTACTTATTTAAAGAAAATTAAATTTAATAACAAGTTTCTCTAACCAGATTTTGCCTGTGGTTGTGTCCTGTGCCTGTGAGCTTCTCTGCCAGGAGAGGGAACAAAGCTCACTAACTGCCTCTCCCTACTTCTACCCAAATGAGACATGTACACAGAGAGAAAGTCCTAAGCCTTATGAATAAAAAACAATAATAGATTATTACTTGTAGAACATACACTAGGTCTAACATTAATGTACAGTTAGATCTCATTAATCTTATTTCTAGAATGTTTTTAAAGAAAGTTGCCTCATGGAAGCTATGGGAAGTTTTCTAGATAACCCTGAGTGGAGTCATCAGTATCTGTCTTTATGGGGTCTTCTGCCCAAGGTACACCTGTTCTCACCACCTCATTCTTCACACTAAAGGGCAACCCTTGTTTCTCCTCAAAGTCCCCACCACTGCTTGCTGCTGCCAATGGTATAAAGCCTGATCTTCATCAGGGACACCACTTCCTCCTCTACCCCTGCTGGCTTGCTTTAGTGGGGGAATTAAAAGCATTTCCTAAGCAAAACAGCCTTCCCTCTAGCTCCCATTGCAGCCTTGTGGGTGCATTGCAGAGGTCCCATGGGAAAAAGGTAACCTTCAGGTTGGCTTCTATTCTTCTCCCTCGCTAGTTCCCCTTAGGAAAACTCTCCAGTGTTGAATTCATCCGTATTTGCATAAACTCTGATGAATATATTTAGCACTAAGATGTGTGTTTCACACATTGTCAAATCAATACCCTGAGGTCAAAATGACAAGGGGAAAAAAGGCCTTGTATTTCTAGTGCTTTCAGTTAGGTAGACCAGTAGGTACTGCAGAGCACTGAGAAGGGAAAACTGGCAGCTACGAATTGGCAGCAGCTAAGCACAAGTTAGATAGTCAGGTTTCCAATTCACAGTCATTAGTGCCATCTTGTTACTTAGCGTTTCTAGAACACCTGCTACCTGGACAAGCACTGACAAATAGGAAAGCCCCTGCCTTCGGGGGAGTGGCATAAGTGCTATCCTTTAGGTGAGCAAGCTTTTATGGCAGAAAGACCCTTGGCTCAGCTGACAGGGAGACAATAGCAGGGGTGCCTGCCCCTATATGATACTGGAGTTTCAAAGGAGTACTGTGACCAAAGTCGCATAAGGATTAACCAGCTTGTTTGGGACCAGAAAGTGCAAACAGTTTTGCATGCATTTGAGGTAGGGGATGGATGGGGGTGAGACAAGTCCTGTGTGGGGCCAAGAACATGTGACTTGGAGTAGTAAGCACCCTAAAATTTATTTAGATACAACTTTTAAAAATCTAGGTACCATTTGGATGCAAAGTCAATTATTTTCTCTGTTCACTAAATATTCATAAGCACAGCTAGTACTATTGAATTGACAAAGAAAAAATTGCACCCTGAATACATTTCAAAGGGAAACAGACTCGGGAAGCTGAGTGATAATCATGTACAGCAGGAATCCAGGTTCAATGATTTCTGTGGCAAACAAATGCCGTTTGGTCAATTGAGAACTTTACCTACCAACCAAGTCTTCCCTGGATATTTCCCTCTGAGTTTTGGATTTGGGAAAAGAACATTGAGAAAAGTAAATGGTTCACCCATAATTACAAAATCAAAGAGATAATAGCATCAGGGTCAAGGCACAAACCCAGGTGGTGTAAATCTAAGTCCAGAGCTTTGTTCGCACAGAGCTTTGAAGCAGACAACTCTCCCATGGAGGCACTCAAGAAAGTGCCAGCTGCTGTTAATTCCTGGACTGGCAGCAGTCAAGGAAGACAAAAGCGCTAGACAATTATCCAATTATTTGTGCTTGCCATTATTTAAGGCTATGAGATGGCATTGGTTTTTCGTTGTTTGTTTTCTTAACTCCATGATAGATGACTTCCTTTAGAGAGATCTTATGTGAAACTGTCATTTACAAAATGGGTAATTGGAGTGGGGATGAGAAATTCAAGCTTCTATTGGACGGAATTTGAAAACCACTGACTGCAATAGATTGGGACAATGGGTGCCTTGAAGAATTGTACTCTCCCTTTCCTCCTCCTGCCAGTTCTTACTCTTGACACCCACCTACCAGAGCTCATTTTCAGTAGGGCCTTTCATCCCTCCCCAATTTTGTCGTGTTTTCCCCTCTGTGTTAGCTACTTTGAGTAACTATGACCAAAATACTTGAAAGAACAACTTAAAAGAGGACAGATTATTTTGACTTATAGCTTCAGAAGTTTCAGTCCATGGTTACTTGGCCCTTGTAGCAGGGCATCATGGTAGCAGGAGTGTATAGCAGAATAGGTTCTTTACCTCATGGTGGACAGGACACAGGGGGAAGAAAGGACTGGGGACCAAGAGTAACCTTCAAAGGCATGTCCCCCAGTGATCTAGGGCCTACCTCCTAATGTTTCCACTACCTCCCAAAATAGCACCAGCAGCTGGGTACTAAGTATTCAATACCTGAGCCTATGAAGGACATTTCACATTCAAACTGTAGCATCCCCCAACAGCCATTCTCTGCCTTCTATTCTACCACCTTTTGTCTCTCTGTACGTCAGCCTAACATCTTTCATGTCCCTGACTGTACTACTCACAGGTTAATCTGTTGCAACCATATGTGCAGGTTTGGAGGGACAGATGTGATCAAATTGAAGACAAGGACAAATTGACCATTATGCAAGCTTGTATGAATTCATGAAAAACATTAAGCTGTTTGCCATACCAGGCAATAACATTGGATTCCTATTGCTCCTATTAAAAAATAAAAACCATGCTCATTTAAGTCCTTTTCTGATAAACTAGCAGACTATGCAGCCAAGGAGGTCTCCAAAGTCACTTGTGTGCTTTGGCATGACTTCTGATTCTTTCCATATGTGACGATCTCAACGGGAAACCTGGAAATGTGCTCTATAGAGGAAAGAGCAACAAAGAACCACATCAGAGCACCAAGGGCCATTGGAAGATGATGTGGGTGGCTACTGGGTGTTCCTCCCCATCTCCACCTCACCATTACCGCTGTACAGTAGCACATTTCTCTCACCCATTTTCTCTTCTCTCCCATTCCTTTTTTCTCCTCCTTCCTTTCTTCATTGCAGTCTATTCTCTAATATTACTGAGAGTACAAAGCTGTTGTAGACTCTTCTGGATGGGCTACTATTATCATGAATGGTTCAAATACACAAATTACTAAGGGTTTACACCCAAATGATGGTATAAGCCCCAACAAGGATCAGCTCTGAGTTTCTAGATGTTTAATATGATGTGTGTGTGTGTGCGTGTGTGTGTGTGTGTGTGTGTGTGTATGAAGAAAGTGTTACTTTTGGGGCTGGTGGTGTAGCTCAGTGGTAGAACACTCGCCTAGTATGTGCAAGGCACTGGGTTTAATCCCCAGTGCTGAATAATAATAATAATTATAACATAATGATGACAGGCATGGTGACACATACCTATAATCCAAGCATCAGGAGGCTGAGGCAGGAGGATGGTAATTTTGAGGCCAGCCCAAGCTACATAGTTCCAGGCCAGCCTGGGCTATATGGCAAGACCTTGTCTCAAAAAAAAAAAAAGAAAGTGGCTAATATCTTCAAAGACATGAATAGAACATGTGGTGCCTTTAATACTTTAAAGAAATGATGAAACCTGGCACCAGTAGCATCCTAGCTACTCAGGAGGCAGAGATCAGGAGGATCACAGTTTGAAGCCAACCAGTGCAAATAGTTCATGAGCCCTTATCTCGAAAAACCCATCACAAAAGACTGGTGAAGCGGCTCAAAGTGTGGGTCCTGAGTTCAAAACCCAGTACCAAAAAAAAAAATTACCCAACACAAAAGAAGGCTGGTGGAGTGGCCCAAGTGGTAGAATGCCTGCCTAGCAAGTGTGAGGTCCTGAGTTCAAGTCACAGTACCACCAAAAAGAAAAAGAAAGAAGGAAATGGAGAAAGATACACAGATTGACAGGTTGGGATAAGTCAGAAGAAATCAAAGCAAATCCAAAATATAGTAGCATAGTCACAATATACTGGGGAATCATTTTCTCTTCCTCCTTCAATATTTAATTCTCTATTGGATTATTTTACTTAGATTTTATGTCTGCAGAAAAACAGAGAAAGTACAACCCCCTGAGGGGTTGAGGGTGTATTCAGTTGTGTAGAGTGCTTGCTTACCTTTATTAGTGTAGGTGACCAGAAGCAGTCCATCTCCAGCACCATAAAAGAATTTTTTTTAAAGGAACAAGCATCTCTCTGGTGTTATCAGTACTATGTGTAAGTATGACTCTCATAAACCTAGACATTCTAGAAGTTATTTTTTCCTCTTTAAATTGCTTTAAACTCTGAGTTACCAACCTTCTTAGATACCATATCTGCACTGTTATATTTTCCTCCACAAATATTCTTGGGTCTCAATATTATACAGATCAACACTCCATCCTTTTGGGTTCACTATTTAAACCTGAACTGTCTGTATTTTTGGTTCCAAAGACAACAACCCTCCTACTGCATCCTGATCATCTTTGATGCTGGGTAGATAGAAAGCTTTTGGAAGTATCCAGGGTCCAGAACATCCAGACCCACACAGCTGGTACCACTTCTGTGGCACAGCTTGAGAGCTAAGCTTCTGATCCCCACTAACACGGGATCTGTGACCTGTATCCTTTTCAAGCAGAAGGGCTGTAGAGTGAGCCATCTGAACCCCCTTGTTTAATATTTAAAATGCAGTTATGGTGGTAAAGAGTGCTTCACTGACTCTGTTAACTTTTTTTTTTTTTGTTAACTTTTAAACTTGCTAAATTATATGTTGGACATCAGGCAGAAATAAAGAGAGGGGATATATGGAGAGTGTAACACACCCTCCTCTTATTGCATATATTAGCATCTCTTGCACAATTACCCTTGGAATATTCTCATTTTGGACTTTTTCCATATCCTAAATTTAGTAAGCTAGAATTATCTTTTAAGCACCACTTTAAGCAACCTTTTCTAAAAGGAAGAATTCCGACATGGGGAAATCTGTGTTTCCTCACGGTTAGACTACAATGTCCCCTACTAATCATAGTCTTATTATGCTGACAGTACAGCAAAGACAGTCATCCAGCAAATTCGTTACAGGTTTGTTAAGAGTAAAAACTTACACCCTCAGCCTGAGAAACATGAGAAACACAGGCTCTGCTGCCGGGCAATGAATCACAGGCATCGCTGCTTTGTGTGTTTGGGAATTGTGCACACTGAATTGAACAATTGCCTCCAATGTGCCAGGGAGATTTCATTATTTAGAGGAATTCTGTGTTGAATCTTTTTATGGCTAAAAGCAAGCACACTACTTTTGAGCTACACACCCAGTCCTAAAAGCATTCTTTAAATGTGGGACTTACAGACTTTTCTACTTTTTAAGTTATACTCCTTGAAATACTAAAGTTTAGTGCATATAAATAATAAGGGTTTGTTGTTTGCTTTTTTTTTTTTTTTTTGAGACATAGTCTTGTTTACTTTGTCCAGACTCTCCTCAAACTCGGGATCCTCCTGCCTCAGCCTTCAGAGTGCTGGGATTACAGGCATGAACACACACCCAGTTTAATAAGTTTATTTATTTATTTATTTATTTTGCTGTTCTAGGGTTTGAACTCAGGGCCTCATGTTTGCTAGGCAGGTGTTCTACCACTTGAATCACTCCAGTCCTTTTTTGTATTGGGTATTTTTGAGATAGGGTCTCAAGAACTATTTTCCTGGGCTGGCTTTGAACCCTGATTCTCCTGGTCTCTTTCTCCGGAGTAGCTGGAATTACAGGAGTGAGCAACCAGTACACTACTAGTAATAAGTTTATTCTAATATGAAGCATGCCTATAGAATAAAACAATTAGAAGTAACTTCTTTAAGGTCATGTATTTACAAAGAGAAATGCATGAAGCTAGCACAGGTGAAGTAAGAACAGTTCTGAATGAATTAGTTTTGCTCGGTGATTAGTTTTAAAAGGGAAAGAGCTCCCAGCCATGTTGAGAAACCTCCCCAGAGGTGCTGCTCATCCCTTGCTCTCACAGCAAGGCTGACCCTTTGAGCTTACTCCTTAAACATGACAAGCCCTCTGATGCTCACAGCATGGGCATTGTCATCTTGTCCCCACCCTCCCCCCACCCCGCCCCCACAGATCCATTGCTGGCCATGAGCCGGTGAAATCCTCTCTCCAGCCCACTTCCTGTTCTGACTCCAACTCCCTGAGGG